ATGGCTTGAAACAACGTTCTGCGCGTTTGACAAATTTGTTTGAGTATTTTGAACACTCGTTAAAGTTTGCTCGATTGAGTTTAACCTTTCACCAAAAGTGGCGTTGGCACTAGCGAGTGTACCCATCTGATTGGTCAGATCGGTGGTTGACTGAGTAAGCGAGGCAATTGCATTGCTCAAAGCTTGCTGATCAGCCATAGTTTCTTGGTTTGAAAAAGAGAGATTTTGAGATTAAAGAGTTTTGCGGTAACTCCCCACAGACGGCGCCAAAATGTGGATGTAGGATTCACACTCGATTGTCTTTAAGTATTTTTGTGGAGAAAAACTCTAAAATCAACGAATGAATATAAAGAATTGAAAAGGAAAGTAACCAAGAAACTAAATAAAGCGAAAGAACTTGGAAAGAATAAAATAGTAAAAAGCCTTGCAAAATTGTAAAAGAAAGGGTATGTTGTATTGTTTGATCGTAAGAGAGAAAAAGTTGTTCTCTCTCCAAACACATGTGTCTGAGGTTGTTTTATAGAGAAAACATGATCAATGCGATCATTTACTGCTCATAATTGCATTGATCCGCATTAATCAAGTAGGTTACAATTTATCCGAAACGGCTTGAATTTGAACTATCTTGGGCTTCGCGTGGATCTTCCGAACTGTTTCTTGTTGACTCCGAACTCCTGCGTCTTGACGCTGCCGCGGACCTCGAATAATATTCTCCTCGCTTCGGCCTTCTTTTATGCGAACAGTATGTTGAATAAGAGCCAACTCCGTACTGGTAAAGATCGAGCTCTTTAATAAACTGAATCGAACTCCCGACAGGTCGAGCTCAATCCCGGCAACGAAACATCTAGAAATCCAAGAGGATTATTATGTAATAATGACGTGGACAGATCCAAGTGGATCCTACCGAAGAGGTGTGGGATCCGACCCCAACACCGGCATTTTTTAGACCGAATGGCATAACTTTATAACAGTAGATTCCTCTATCCGTTATGAAAGATGTTTTCTCTTCATCTTCGGGATTCATCATGATCTGATTATATCCAGAAAATGCACCCATGAATGTCAAGAGTTTGTTTTGGACATGCTTTGTTAATGTCAGTGAAATTGACACATACTCTCCACTTTCCATTTTTCTTTTTGACTACCACGGGGTTTACTAACCATTCCGGGTATTTTACTTCTCTAATCGAACTAATTTTCAAAAGCTTATCAACTTCGTCATTCACCGCTTGTGCTCGGTCAGGACCCAGTTTTCTTCTTTTTTGCTTTATCGGTTTAAAACTGGGATGGACGTTTAAATCATGGGTAATGATATTTTTGTCGATTCCAGGCATATCTTTCGCCGACCAGGCAAAAGTATGTTTATTTTCTTTTAGAAATGTTACCAATTGATCTTTGATTTCTGAATCTAAAGTAGTACCGACTTTTACTTTTCTATCTGGAAATTCGGAATCAATTTCAATTTCTGTGGTAACCTCATTCGGACTGAGACCACTTGGGTAATGCGAGGTGCTTTCTTGCTTAACATCTATCATTAATTGCTATTTAAGCTTTAAACGATGTCCCATGAGGTTGCAAGATCGCGACGTTTCCTGATCTCCTCGAATGGTTCCGATTCCACCAGGAGTCAGAAATTTCACACATTGATGATAAGTTGAAGGTATAGCCTTCATTTGATATATCCACGGAGTTCCGAGAATTATGTTGTAAGCGGTCGGACGGTCAAAAACAATGAATTCTACAATCTTGGAACTCCTGCGGCGAGCACTGGTAGTTTTATGTTTCCTAAGGACATAGATGTGTCACTCGTGAAAGCTACTAATGGTGCTGGTGGGCCGATAATGTCAGCTTTACTGATTCCCATTCTTTGAAAAGTGCTAAGAAATATGAGATCTACTGAGCTTCCAGTATCAATTAGACACCTTGTCACTTTGAAGTTTGCAACATTTAAAGTTATCACAAGAGCATCGTCATGAGGTCCTGTTAATCCTTGAGCGTCCGAATTGTCAAAAGAGATAGAAGGTGTTTGTTCATTTGATTGAAAACCCACAGCGGTTTGAATTGCTGCTGATTTCTTGTGCCTTTTGATTGATCTGATCGAATCTCGGCATAATTTGGATCCTCCCATTATAACATCGATCCTTTTCTTAGGAGTGTTCGGAGTTCTGGGCCCATTGGGCTTATGTTTATTTTCAGGAGGATTAGAAGCTTCAGAATCTTCTTTTTCTTTGTGGTAAGATTCCACAAATTCCTCGATATTGAAATTAGCGAGCTCTCCAGCTGCCCACAGTTCGGTGAGGTGCTTTTTGAGTACGCTGCAATCTTTTGTGGACTGCCAGTTTACTTTATAAATATCACAGTAGGCACTTTCATCTCTAACCCAAGTATTAGGAGGATTGTATCTTCCTCTGCTTGGGGAGGGTTTTCCTACAGCATTGGTAGCAGGATTAACTCTGAACCGTTTTTGATCCTTTGGTTCAAACTTTTTAGTTGGATTCGCAACGACCAATTTTGCTGGCCGATGCTTTTTAGTGAGGCTAAGCTTTTCTTCTTCTGCCTCCATCCAATTAGTAGCTCTGAATAAAGCATCTTGGATGGTACTCGGACGATTGACGATGATTTCCTCCCAAAATCGGGATTCATGCCAGAGTCCGTTCCTTAAAGCAGAAAGGGCAGCAGCGTGCGATACCCCATGAATTTTGGCTATCACTTCTTTGAATTTAGCGATATATTTGCGAAGTGGTTCATTCTGACCTTGGGTTAAATTCCAAAGATCCGCATCAGAAGTTGCCTTTTCCATGAACATGGAATATTGTTTTAGGAATGCAGAGGACAATTCCTTAAAACTATCAATAGTTTCTGGTTCTAACTGAGTGAACCATAACAGAGATGGTCCGGAAAGATTTTCGGAAAATAGTTTGCAAAATCCGGCATCTTCCTCGCCTGGTTCAAGATCAATTCTTCCTACGGCGATTAGAAAAGCAGCGAGGTGATTTTTAGGATCTCCTTTACCATCATAAGTTGGTAACCTAACCTTTCGAGAATCTTTGATCCGAAGGTTCGAGATTCTCGAGGTAAAGGGTGTTCGACGAGTTTCTTCGATTACTCGATCGATCTCAGGCGCCGAACTGGTCGCCTGATGAAATTTTGATTTCATTTCATTAAGCTCTTGACTAACTTTGATGAAATCGTCTGATTGGGTGACATCAAGATCTTCCATAAGGAATCCGTCGTCAATAGGAAGATTTCCCTGACCCTGGGGAATTTTTTCCCCGGTTGGGTTAGTCGCTTTCCTTACAGCTGCCTGATTGCTAGTATTAGCAGATTGGCCTGCAAGAGGGGTTTGAGTATTCTCGGGCCTGTTTTTTGCGGGAGTCGCGAATAACCTGCGCTGAAGCGTTGTTGTTCGCGCTGAGGACAAATTATCTAACCGGCTCGAAACAGCGTTATGCGCGTTTGACAAACTTGTCTGGGTGGTTTGAACACTCGTTAAGGTTTGCTCGATTGAGTTCCAACCTTTCACCAAAAGTGGTGTTGGCAGTAACAAGTGTACCCATCTGATTGGTCAGATCGGTGGTTGTCTGAGTAAGCAAGGCAATCGCATCGCTCAATGCTTGCTGATCAGCCATAGTTTCTTGGTTTGGAAAGAAGGATTTTGAGATTAAAGAGTTTTGTGGTAACTCCCCACAGGCGGCGCCAAAATGTGGATGTAGGATTCACACTCGATTATCTTTAAGTATCTCAGTGGAGGAAAACTCTTGTAAAATCAGGAAATGAATATGAGAATTTGAAAAGGAAATCAACCAAGAAAAGAAGTAAAGAATTTTGATAAGAGCGAAGTACTAAATGCCTTGCGAAAGTAGTAAAGAGAGAAAGTATATTTTATTGCTTAGAAGTAATGAATAATCAGATTCCGTTCCCAAACACATGCGTTTGAGGTTGTTTTTATAGAGAAAACATGATCAATGCATTCAATTACTGCTCATAATCGCATTGATCCGCATTAATCATATACGTTACAATTTGACCGAAACGGCTTGAATTCGAACTATCTTGGGCTTCGCGTGGATCTTCCGAACTCTTTCTTGCTGACTCCAAACTCCCGCGTCTTGACGCTACCGCGAGCCTCGAACAATATTCTCCTCGCTTCGGCCTATCTCTATGCGAACTGTTTGTTGAATAAGAGCGAACTCCATACTGGCAAGGATCAAGCTCTTTTACCGGACCGGACCGAACTCTCGACTGGTTAAGCTCGATTCTCTTAATAAAATATCTTTAATTCCAAGAGTATTATTATGTAATAATGACGTAGACAGATCCAAGTGGATCCTACCGTAGATATGTGGGATCCGACCCCAACAAAACCTAAGGCCATTCACTATGTAACCAGTGTAAGACCTAGCAATGTTTCTTGGACCATATGCCAACCATTTTAATGTATCTTCATGATCATCCGAGTCAAGAGTTATCTAAAAATGCAGCAGGTAATAAGTGTTAAAATGCTTGCAGACAAGAACAGACCATAATACACTTGAGTTATATGTAAAAGAACTTGCCTGTTTTTTCAACCAGTCTGCAAAGTTTTGAGTATGCATACTCCATAATACACTTGCATCACGTCTGCATCTTCCATTAGAGTCTTGTAGATGCTGTCACTACAGGAATATCGGGTATTAATAACGTCTGAAAAACGCTGTTTAAAGATATAATAGCGTTTTTGAAAGCGCTGTATATACGCCCGCTATAATAGGTAAGTGACTTTAGATAGCGTTTTTCTGTAATGCTATAATATGTTTATATAACATAGCGTTTTATTTTCTGCTATTAGAAATTATATAATAGCGTTTTTTGTGTGTTATTAAAAAGTTAAACATTTAGAAAAATTGATATTTGTTGTTTTTTAATATTATATATAATATTGTAATTATATATAATATAAGTACTACATAATATTTTAATATTATATATAATATTATAATTATTGCTTTGACAAAAAAAACTTTAAATCAAACTTAAAATTAAAACTGGATTTAAACCTGTCATTTTAAAAGATCATACAAAGAGTAGTACTACACCATGAGATAGAACAATGTTTTTTGACACAAACTTATGCTCACATGAATACAATATGCTTGTTAGGCCAAGCCACCCAGTTTCCTACTGCATCAGATATTACTTGAATTTCAGAATTTGGTCTCCACACTCGTGCACCATCAATCTTGGAAACCTCTACCCAGATCTTGCTAGCATTGGGACCTAAAGGACAGAGATGGACCTTGTCTTCTGGATCAGTGGAACAGACACGACCTATTGCAACTTGCTCCCCAGAATTATCACAATCTAATAGAAAGCAATTCTTTTTGGAGCCTTTGCTTGTACCAGTACTGTTAGTGCCACTCTAGTAGTCCAAATTATAAAAACATTCATCAGAATACCATCACATCAACATCAACATCAACATGCAACAAATATAATTCCCAATCTCATCTAAAAATCTGACTACTTAAACTATTGTCCAACTTAACTACTAGTAGCAGCCAAATCAAAACAAACAAATATAGAGTTGGTGTTACTGACCTGCAGAGGTGATGATTTTTTCGTTGATTCATCAAGTGTAGACAGAGGTATTTGTATCCTATCAGCAGGCCATGTGATGATCTCATTTAGTGCATCACCCATCAATGATGAACCTTTCATAGTAGGTCTCCATAAATAAGCACCAGGTTTAACCACCTTATCGACATTAATAACTGCATCATTTGGTCCCAGAGGAGCATTGTTGACCATTTCTTTAGGGTCAGTTGACAACAATATATCCTCAGCAATCACATCAGTATCCACATTCCAATAATCATAAATGTGAACTCTGTGAACTCTTCCTATTGATCCATCTGAAGCCTAATGAGTCATTGAAAGAGTTATACACAATGTATTAGTAATCTAATCCTTATGAATTTAGTTATTTAGAGAAATACAAACTCAATTTTAAATTACCTCGGATCTGTCAGTGTTATGAGGCTCTGTGAAGTTATAATCATCATCCAAAATTATCTTATCACTTGGCCACGGGATTTTAACTCCTACAGCTTCACCAAGTGAGCCAATGGATTGAGTAGGTCTCCAGAGAGATGCTCCTATTACTAATACAGAGTTGACAAGTACAGCAGCAGCATTACGGCCTATAGGAATGCGACCAATCTTGTATGTTGGTTCACAGGAGCAATATTCTCCTTCACCAACAACAATGTCATCTTTCGAACACCAATCTAGTAGCTGGCACCTAATTCCCCCTTTGCTAACATCGCTTAAACCAGACTTAGAAACATCATTATTCTGTTTTAAACACATAAACAAAATGCATATAAGTTGGCATCTAATTAAACAACAAAATTAACTGTGAAACAAAAACAATATAAGTTACCTGTTTAGCAGCTAAGTCACTAACCACAGTTTGCAATTTTTCAAGCTTAGCTTCAAGCTCCTTCACATGTGAGTCTCTGGCCTGTAAAAAAGCCAACTTAGTAATCGTAGCCCCTCTGCCCATCCCCCTAAGTCTTCCTGGTCTGTCTTTTCCTAGTATCTGACTCACAGCATCTTCTCTAATATTATTTGTGGATGTGGAGTCCATTTCACTATCAATTGACTTGATCTTTTCCTGAAATAAAGATTTATACTTAATATGGAGAATCTACCTTTAAAAACAATCTGAAGAACAATAAATCAAAATTTAAATCATTCTTACAATAGTTTCTTCGAATTCTGGCCTCACGGGTCTTCCATCAGCATGAGTGTGACCTGCTATCCAAACTTTACTTCTAGTAACTTTACTAGGATCAGGAGCCTTTTGTTTCTACAAGTTCATATAAAGGGTTATACACATATTTGAATTACTATAACAACTAACCAATTCAATACATATACTAGTACATACCATCTCATTAGCTAGCCTATGAAATCCTTTGCGGCTGGTGGTTTGAGGAATTTGAGATTTTCTAAGTTTGCTCATTGTCTCACTTTTTTCCTATTGACACAAATAGACATATATGAATAATCTCACAAACACCATATCAAATAATCAAAACACATGAAATAAATACCTTAAAAGCTGTGCTAGTTTTTTTCTTCACCCAAGCGTTCCAGTCAGATATAGAAGGGATGTTGCTGGGCCTAATTTGCTGGATTTCAACCTTGCTTTTTGTTGCTCGAACTTTTGTAACCAGCTTTGATTTAGAGGATCGCCATATATGATTCATATGACCTAATATTGCTTCTTTATGCCAAACTTCATTCAAATTGAATCTCCCCTGTCAAACAGTGCCAAGTAAAATCATTAAAACACAATTTGAAATACAAACAAATTACTCATATTCAGTCAAAAGGCTAAAAAACTTAACCTGAACTTCCTCCCACATTCTGTCTTTTGTATTTGCATCAAGATGTTTCCAGTCATCTAGCAGTACTGGGACATGCTCCCTCACAAGTATTCCAAGGAAGGAGGAGAGTGCCGCTGATCCTTTACCAACATGCGCACCTATAGCACCTATAGCATTAAATTCAACTTCCAACTTTTCATCTGCATTTTTAGCCACTTTCCTCAACTTAGTTGGACCTCTAGTCTTCTTCTTTTTTATCTCTGATTGTTGTGTCTGTGCTTCAGAAGGGTTAGAACCATTTGTTGTGGAAGCCGGGATTTGTTCATCTTGTACCCGGTGTGACTGTGCTTCTACTTCTTCTGCTGAACCAATATCTTCTCCATTATGCAGTGATTCCCTATTAACTTGATCCTCTTCTTCATAAAAATTAGCATCACTCTTCTCTCCTTCCTTCTCCTCTATAACAGGCTTCTTCTGTCTCTTCCGAGGCAGTGATGGTACAGGAGTCACATCTTGGCCTTGTTGGCGCTTACTGCGACGAATTTGTTTAACAGCACCAGTTTTCATCCTCTTTTACCTGAAATACAACAATAACTTGTTAATTTTCTACTAGCACACCTTCACAATCATCCCTAACACAAAAACTCTCATCATCTGATGATTGATCGCCTAAATCTTCAATTGGCTGGACTGATAATGGTGCAGAAACAAACTCTTCTTCTGTTTCTAACTCATGGTATCCTCTTGGTGGCGCCCTCATAACAACATACCAAGGTGAGGAGTCATCTTCCCTAGAGTAAAAAACCTGTTTAGCTTGAGATGGCATAATGAAAGGATCATTCAAGAAAGCTGATTGCTTCATATGGAGATTCACAAGCGTGAAACCGTCTTCCTCTTTCAGTCCATTTCCTTTGTTAGCCCAAATACACTTAAAGAGTGGAACCTGAAACATATGGTAGTCCAGCAATATGATCTCCTTGATCACTCCACAGAAGACTACTATGTCTGCCGTTTGTCAAGTATCTTTAGTACTAGCTCTACACATTGAAAACGCTTCATAGGTTACTCCACTGTTCTGAGTCTTCCGTTTTACATCATCTGTATGGAACCGATGACCATTGATTATATACCCCTTATATGTTTGAGCAATACTTCTTGGTCCAAAAGCAAGCCATCTCAGCTTAGTCGAATGGCCAATTGAGTTTGTTGGTATCTAACATGAGAAATAAAACAATTCATTATCATGAAACTATAAATAAAACTTAAAAAAGAGCATAATTCAAATATGACTGTATTGTAACCTTTTCTTTGATCCATTGTGGGAAATTTTCAGTATGATATTTCCACAGAAGTGTTTCGTTTTTGGCGCATCTTACATCTGTAGACTGTAGTTCTTCCAAATGCAACCTGTTTTTTTTCAATGCATGTTAATTAGTTATGAGAAATATTACAAGTGTATTAATAAAAGTACAAATACTGGCTCAGATCAGAACTTACTGAATATACAGATCCATGACTGCTGTATTCATAAGAATATACCGATGAGCTATGTCTCTCTCTTTATTAGTTAGTTTAACTTTTGTACCTTTCTGCAGCGGTCGGCCTTCAGCGACATGTTGATCTGCCTCAATATCTTCATTCCGATTAATAGCTTCTTGCACTGGAACAGATTTCTTTAAAAACTCCATACAGAATGAAATGCATTCACCAGCCAAGTATCCCTCAGCCATACACGCCTCTGGCCTTGCAAAATTCTTTACATACGCCTTTAGTGTTTTCATGTACCTACATCTCATTTTGAAAAGAATGTATGATTAATAGATACACATACTAGTAGTTAATAATGAAATATAACAAAATTTAAAAACAAGTACCTCTCAAATGGATACATCCATCTGAAATGTACGGGGCCACCCAAGCGAGCTTCCCTTGCTAGATGTATTGGAAGGTGAAACATGATGTCAAAAAGTGAAGGCGGAAAGAATCTCTCCAATTGGCACATTGTTTCCACAACCTCTGATTCTAGTGTAACTAGCTTCTCTGGATCAATAACACGTTGGCATAGTCTACTAAAGTAATTGCAGAGACGACTAACTGCAATCCGCGGTCCTTTTGGAAGTAAACCTCTCAATGTCACAGGAAACAAATTTTGCATTAGAACATGATGGTCATGCGATTTCAGAATACCAATATTGGGAGGATCAACTGATACACAATTTGCTATATTTGCACAATAGCCATCTGGACCTCTGAACTTGGATAGCCTTTTGCAGAATTTACGTTTTTCTTCCTTAGAAAGCCAATAAGCAGCTGGAGGTAAATAAGTTCGCTTCCCACGTACCTCTGGATGTAAGTTGGTTCTAATTCCAATGTTTTCTAAATCTTGTCTTGCTTTCAAACCATCCTTTGACTTCACAGAATGCATCAGAATAGACAACAGTGCATCAGATACATTCTTCTCAACATGCATTACATCAATATTATGCCTTACAAGCATATACTGCCACATAAAGTACAAGAGTTGTCAATGTTTTTTTCTTCTATAGGGATGACCAGGTCTGAGACGCTTCCTATTACCCATGTATACATGTTTCCGACTAAACTTTAGCCACCTATGAGGTGTATCCTTCCCACAAACATTACACGCTTGTTTCCCCTTCACTTTACATCCAGCTAATGTCCCTAAGGCTGGGTAGTCAGTAATAGTCCACAACAATATAGCTCTAAGATTGAAACTCTCTTTAGCAAAAGAGTCATAAACTTTCATACCTTCAGTCCATAAATCTTTTAGATCATCTATCAAAGGCTGTAGATAGACGTCAATGTTGTTGCTAGGTGCAGTTGGTCCAGGTATCAACAATGTCAGCATAATATTCTCTGCTTTCATACACTCAGTTAGAGCCATATTGTAGTTGACTAAGAAAACCGGCCATGTGATGTACTTGGTATTTTGAATAGAGAACGAATTCATTCCATCTGTTGAAAGCCCTAGTCTAAGGTTTCTCGAATCTGCAGCAAACTCTGGCCATTTATTGTTTACCTGACTCCAAGTCAATGAATCCACTGGATGCCGCATAGAACCATCATCACTAGCATTGGTGAAGTGCCAACGCAAACCCTCAGCCAACCGTTTTGATCTAAAGATCCTCCTAAATCTATTTTTTATCGGAAAATACCGAAGCACCTTTGCTGGAATCCCTTTCTTCTCCTCACCAGTGTGCTTATCTTTTTCCCATCTTGACTCACTACATCTTGGGCAGTTCACCAACTTCTCATATTGATTCCGATAAAGGATACAATCATTTTTGCAGGCGTGAATCACATCATAACCAAAACCAAAGAGCTTCAAAAATTTCTTAATATCATCTGTAGACTTAGGCATGACATTGTCTCCAGGTAGCATGTCATGAATAAGCATCAGAAGCTGGTCAAAGTAGTTCTCTGACATCCCACTCTTGACTTTTATCCGGTAAAGTCCCATGATTGCAGCCACCTTGGTGTAGTTCTGACATGTTGAATACAATGGAGTTTCTGCATCCTCTAACTTCTTTCTAAACTCAAAGTCTTCTTGGCTGTCTATATCCTCAACTTCATCTACATTCTGCTGCTGAGATGGTTGAGTGCCTTCAGTCGCCATAAAAGCTGTTCTAAACAACTCGTAAGCCTCATTTTCAGATGAATCGACATTAGGTGTCTTCTCATCATTATATCCCCGTGTAAACTCCAACATTTACTTCTCTTGTACTTCTGATCCATCCCTTTGATGACTAGATGTTCCACCACTGTATCCATTGACTGATGACAAAAATTGCGGCAAAGAAGACAAGGACAGAACATTTCTGATGGATTACCCAAATTACTTGCTGATTCAACCATAAACTTAGTTGCTCCTGCTTCATACTCAAGGCTATTCCTACACGTTAACAAATAGTACCCATTACAAACTGAGAACAGTCAATCATAAAATAAAATCAATGCATATATGTAAGAACAAGTTAATACCTTGGCAACCAAACCCAAGCTTTATCCATTTCACAAGAGCTCCGACCAAATGTGCATACAAGTAATTTTCAGAGGCAGTCACTTTCAAAGCCAAAACAACAATACAAGTAATCTGATAGAAGAATCATATACCTGATAGAGTTTGTTCTCTTCTGATTAACTCGAACTACAACAGAAAAAGCAAAAATAGAAATCAATTAAACTCAAATCAATAAATCTACAAATCCAAACAAAAATTAAAAGAAATCGATTTCATTATTAGTCTTTGATTTGGCTCTGTTTACCTTCTCTTGGGTGTTGACTCCTTCAATCTGGACAAGTGATGTGTTTGGATACTGGTTCGACTACGACCTGCACATTGAAGTAAATGTCAGACCAGATCTAGTTTCAAATTGTTAGGACTCGTTCAAACATAACTCAGTTAACAAGGAAGATGTGAAAGATACACAAAGCAGCTCAAAGCAGTTCAAGGAACATGTAGATACAGTCTCAAATGTGTAAGCGATTCTACCTAAATCCTCAAATCCCTAAATCCCCAAATTCTAAATCCTCAAATCCCTAAATTGACCAAACCCAAACCCAAATCGTCATCTCGCAGCTCTCTCTCTCTACAAATCAAGAACAAATTTGTGATTAAGTGGGATTTACCTTCGATTTAGTGGGATTCCCAAACAGATCGAGCATACAAGGAAGATGGGAGAACCTAAGGAAGATGCGGAGAGAGCAAAGACGTTGAAATTTTTCGGAAATTTCTGTTTTGTGTTTGTCGGAGATAGCAAAGAGGAGAGAAAGAGGAAACCCTAAAAATTGAAGAGTAAAGTCGACAAAGATGAGCTAAGGGGAAAAAGAAAAGAAATGCCCAAAAATATTTCTAAGTGTAGTAGCGGGAATGGGAAATTTTTAGCGCCCAACCCTTTCAATAGCGTTTTAATATGGTAATGCTATTAAATATACTTCCGCGTCATGTAAAAATTGTGAAACACTATCCATAGCGTTTCAACAAGGTAGAAACGCTATTGAAAGTTCAGAGGTCCTCTAACAATAGCAGAATGACTACAAACGCTATTGTATAGTGCAATTAAAACCCGATATTCCTGTAGTGAGCTCTCGTCAATGGTGATTGAGTCTGGGACTAGCTTTGCTTGAGGATCTCTGTTGCGGTGGCACTTTCATTTGGTTATTGAACTTGTTGTCTAGGGATAGTTTGTTGAGCATGTTAACCACATGTTAGATTAAGGAGACTTCACTACTCGATTACCCCATCCTCGGGAATTTCTCTTCCAATTGAATTCCTTGTTTACATCGCTATTGATTGCTTGATCTTGTTGCCTATTGCTTTGTTTTTGCATTTTTACTTATTTCATTTAAAGTACTCGACCACACACAGTGGTTTGGAAACGGACTGTGTGGTAGAGTACATTTGTTGCAGTTTCTGTTTGGTACTCGACCTGATACTCGACCACATCCAGTGCTTGGCATCAAGCTGTGTGATCGAGTATATTGCCTGCTATTGTTAGAATTTCTGCTTTCTGCATGATCACTAGAACTGTTAACAACATCAAACCTGTTATTGCTTGGCTTGACTCTGTGATATCTGATTGCATCTTGATTGCTAGCATCACACCCATTTAGATTGACACCTTAAATACTGCAATGACATGATAGTACTTTAAGGATAATTGATCTTAGTTAAAATCCTACTATCAATTTGGCGCCGTTGCCGTTTGGGTGTTTGTTTGTTACATTTGATATTTCAGACTTGCTTAGATCAATCTATTTCAATTTTCACTTAGGTTACTAACTTTGTGTTTTTCTTGTTGTCTTCTTGATCCAGGTACAACCCTACTGTATGCAAACTGGATCAAAAGGCAACCAGAACCTCCTTTTCAACGATAACATTGACCGTATTGACAGAGAACTAAGGGAAAGGAGAGACACTACAGACCTTGAATACAACCATCCTTTCAGAATGGCTGATGAACAAGATGTCAACAATCTGCCTGCAAACATTGGTGCTGGAGATGCACCAAGAAACCACCATCAGAGGCAAGGGATTGTGCCTCCTACTGTCCAAAACAACAACTTCGAGATTAAAAGTGGTCTCATCTCGATGATTCAGGGAAACAAGTTCCATGGTCTGCCTATGGAAGACCCACTCGACCACTTAGACGAATTTGATAGGCTCTGTAGCCTAACAAAAATCAACGGAGTCAGTGAAGATGGATTCAAGCTCCGGTTGTTTCCATTCTCCTTGGGTGACAAAGCACACATCTGGGAAAAGAATCTTCCACCTGGATCCATCACATCCTGGGATGACTGCAAGAAGGCCTTTCTTACAAAATTCTTCTCCAACGCAAGGACTGCACGGCTCAGAAATGAGATCTCTGGTTTTGCCCAAAAGAATGGAGAAAGCTTCTGTGAGGCTTGGGAGCGCTTCAAAAGTTACACCAACCAATGTCCTAATCATGGTTTCAGTAAAGCCTCACTGCTCAGCACACTCTACAGAGGTGCTCTTCCACGGATCAGAATGCTTCTAGATACCGCGAGCAATGGAAATTTCTAAAACAAGGATGTTGCTGAAGGCTGGGAATTGGTTGAGAACTTAGCTTAGTCAGATGGTAATTACAACTAGGAATGCGACAGGACCAACAGAGGAACAGTTGACTCGGATGATAAACACAAGAAAGAGATGAAGGCTCTTAATGAGAAATTGGATAAGATTCTCCTTGGCCAGCAGAAGCATGTGCACTTTCTAGTCGATGACGACCAGTATCAAGTCCAAGATGGGGAGGGGAACCAGTTAGAAGAGGTCAGCTACATCAACAATCAAGGTGGCTATAAAGGGTATAACAACTTCAAGACTAACAACCCCAACCTTTCTTATCGTAGCACCAACGTTGCTAATCCACAGGATCAAGTGTATCCTCCATAACAACAGCAGGGTCAGAATAAACCTTTTGTTCCCTATAACCAAGGTTTTGCTCCCAAGCAACAATTTCAGGGGAACTACCAGCAGCAACCACCACCTGGGTTTGCACCTCAGCAACACTAAGGTCCTGCTGCTCCTGATTCTGACATGAAGCAAATGCTACAACAGCTTCTCCAAGGACAAGCATCGGGCTCCATGGAGATTGCTAAGAAGATATCTGAATTACACAATAAGCTGGACTGTAGCTACAATGACCTGAATGTCAAAGTAGAGGCATTGAATTCCAAGGTCCGATACTTAGAGGGACAATCTGCTTCTACTTCTGCTCCAAAATCTACAGGCCAACTTCCAGGCAAAGCAATTCAGAATCCAAAAGACTATGCTCAAGCTCATGCTATCACCCTGCGCAGTGGTAAAGAACTTCCAACCAGAGAGGGACCTAAGCCAGCCACTGAGGACAGTGCAGATCAAGCTGGGGAGGATTTCAGTCTCAATGAAGATCAAGCTAACAAGCCAACAGAAGTACTCGACCCTCCACTCGACCATGTTACTCGACCACCAATTCCAGTAACATCACCCACTGCTCTTAAACCAGTTGCTGCTAAGAACAAGGAGAAGGTTTTTGTCCCTCCTCCTTACAAGCCCCCACTTCCATTTCCTGGTCGTCACAAGAAAGCGTTGGCAGATAAGTACAGAGCTATGTTTGCTAAGAACATCAGAGAAGTTGAATTAAGGATACCTCTTGTTGATGTTCTCGCACTTATTCCGGATTCCCACAAGTTTCTGAAAGACTTGATCATGGAGAGAATTCAAGAAGTTCAAGGAATGGTAGTGCTGAGCCATGAATGCAGTGCTATTATACAGAAGAAGATCATTCCAAAGAAGCTTGGTGATCCTGGCTCATTCACTCTACTGTGTTCATTAGGTCCTCTATCATTCAACAGATGCCTCTGCGATCTAGGCACATCAGTGAGCCTCATGCCTTTCTCAGTTGCAAAACGTCTTGGTTTCAACAAATACAAAGCTTGCATTATCTCTGTGATTCTAGCAGACAGATCCATCAGAATACCTCATGGCCTGCTTGAAGACTTACCAATCAAGATTGGAGTCGTAGAGATACCTACTGATTTTGTAGTGCTTGAGATGGATGAAGAACCAAAGGACCCTCTGATTCTGGGAAGACCTTTCTTGGCGACTGCTGGAGCTATCATTGATGTCAAGAAGGGGAAGATCGATCTGAACCTTGGTAAAGACCTTAAACTGACCTTTGATATAAAGGATGCAATGAAGAGGCCAACTATAGAAGGGCAACTCTTTTGGATTGAAGAAATGGATCAGTTAGCTGATGAGTTACTAGAGGAGCTAGCAGAAGAAGATCACCTTAAGAGTGCTTTGACCAAGAATGGTGAAGAAGGGTTTCTGCATTTAGAAACTTTGGGTTACCAAAAGTTGTTGGACTCACACAAAGCAGTGGAAGAGTCAGAATCCTTTGAGGAATTGAATGGGTCAGCAACATAAGTAATGGCAGTAAATAAAGAAGGAACAACTCAAGCTCATCCTGCTCACTCGAGGACCTACTCGAGTGAACACTCGACCACAACAGTTGACATCCCTGCGGAGCTGGTCATTCCAACATCAGACGACTAGTCTGAACTCAAAGCACCAAAAGTTGAACTTAAGCCGCTTCCCAAAGGGCTCAGGTATGCATTTCTAGGTAATTACTCTACATATCCTGTCATTGTGAATGATGCATTAACTAATGAACAAGTGCATCTTCTGTTAACTGAACTGAAAAAGTATAGAAGAGCCATTGGTTATTCACTTGATGATATAAAGGGCATTTCACCTAGTTTATGCACACATCACATTCATCTTGAAAACGAATCTTATTCAAGCATTGAACCCCAAAGAAGGTTGAATCCTAACTTAAAAGAAGTGGTAAAGAAGGAGATACTTAAACTATTGGAAGCAGGTGTAATTTACCCTATTTCCGATACCACTTAGGTATCTCCAGTTCATTGTGTTCCAAAGAAAGGAGGTATGACTGTTGTAAAAAATGATAAAGATGAGCTCATACCTACTAGAACTATAACTGGACATAGAATGTGCATTGACTACAGGAAGTTGAATTCTGCATCTAGGAAAGATCATTTTCCACTTCCATTCATTGATCAAATGCTAGAGAGGTTAGCTAATCACCCATATTATTGTTTTCTTGATGGTTATAGTGGTTTCTTTCAAATACCAATTCACCCTAATGATCAAGAAAAAACTACATTCACATGTCCATATGGAAACTTTGCATATAAAAGAATGTCTTTTGGTCTCTGTAATGCACCAGCTACATTTCAGCGGTGCATGACTTCTATCTTCTCGGATTTAATTGAGGAGATGGTTGAGGTGTTCATGGATGACTTTTCCGTGTATGGCTCTTCTTTCTCCTCTTGTTTGTCAAATCTGTGCAGGGTGCTTTCTAGGTGTGAGGAGACAAACTTGGTACTAAACTGGGAAAAATGTCACTTCATGGTCAAGGAAGGCATTGTATTGGAGCACAAGATCTCAGAGAAGGGTATAGAGGTTGACAGAGCAAAGATTGAGGTTATGGTGCAACTGCAACCACCAAAGAGTGTCAAGGACGTGAGAAGTTTTCTGGGACATGCTGGGTTTTATAGAAGGTTCATCAAGGATTTCTCCAAGCTGGCAAGACCAATGACAAGGCTGCTGTGTAAGGAAACAGAGTTTGATTTTGATGAGGAATGCCTGAAAGCTTTTCAACTCATCAAGAAAGCTCTGATTTCAGCTCCAATAGTCCAAGCTCCAAACTGGGACTATCCATTCGAAATCATTTGTGACGCTTCACATTACGCTGTAGGAGCAGTCTTGGGACAGAAGATTGACAAGAAGCTCCATGTCATCTATTACGCAAGTAGAACGATGGATGATGCTCAGGTGAAGTATGCCACAACAGAGAAGGAGTTACTAGTAGTTGTTTTTGCGTTTGAAAAGTTCAGAAGCTACTTGGTAGGTTCCAAAGTCATAGTCTACACAGATCATGCAGCCTTGAGACACATTTACGCAAAGAATGACACCAAACCAAGGCTGTTGAGATGGATAC